ACCGTCTCACGCCTCTGCCTCTCAGCTACCGTTGAACGATGAGCTTCCCGGCCAATGCACCAAATGATACCGGAGAAACTGACGGAAGCAAAGCACAGAGAGATGGACACAGGTTTCTTCAGGAAGGAAGAGATTCTTTATTGGATCACCGATCGGGACTCAGAGGGACTAATGTCACCAAAAATACAGCAAGTTCTGAGCCCTGAACAATAGTGCAGGCTCCCTATATAGGCACATAACTCCTCCCATATTAAGCTCCACCCGCACATTCTCTTGACCAATCATTACAAATAAGAATTAACTTCCTGCTTGACCGCATGGCTTGTCCAGCACAATGGAGGAGGGGAATACTACATCCTGTATTCTTGCACATGCTCCGTACACTACTGATCGTATCTTGCCTCGTGCAACCAACTGATCGATACGTCAGCATATGCACGTACACATGCCACGTGGTAATCTCGGCCTACTAAATTTATTTTTACCGAGATTCCACCACAAAACTGGTTTATCTATTTAATAAAAGGAATGGAAGCAGGTAACGGTGGGTTATCACCTCAGGGTGTCTGGTCAGAAGTGATTGATTCAGAAGTAGATTGAACTGACAATAGCACCTTAGGGTGAATGATCAGAAGTGATTGAACTGACCATAGCAGGATGAGTAGATTTAGAGGCAACTAATTACAGGGTACTGTGTTTTTATTGCATACATAAAGATATTGATCTTTTGTCACTATGATGTTTCTGGCACGTAAGTTGTGTTGTTTAACTGTATATAAGATATGTGTTTTTCATATAGAGGCAGTCTTCTTTGACACTCTCCTTGTGCACAAGCAATAAAGGAATCTCTGCTTATTCAACTCTTGTGTGAAGAACCTGTGTCTTACGATAATGAGCATTTCACACAGCCAGGTCTACAAATTCCTAACAAGTACTAAGCTTTTTGCTTGGTAAAAACTATTGTTCCCATTCTGTCTAGACATTGTCTGTTAGCATCAATAAATTCCATAAAAATGTCATTTTTATTAGATGATCAATTATAGCAAAATTAGCAGCTCTTTCTTGCTAACACTTTTTCACCTTAGGGTTACATATGTAATTTTATTAAAAAAAATTCTAGTTAGACCTTTACATATTTCACATTTATTATATTTACACCAAATGCCAGCATTTCATGGGTATGACCAGTAAAATAAGCCTTTTTAATTTATCTGAAACAAAAGTTATTTCATTTAATCCAATGTTTTTAACTGTCTCAAAACTCATCTATTGTTTCATAAATTATATTCTATTGCACATTTCACCTTGTTAAACCCATAGTAGTAACATGCCATTTCTTCTCCAATAATCCCATGTTTTACCTGAGACATGCTACAGGGCACTCATGGAGGAAACATAGACAGGGATTTATTGTATAAACACTTCTTACAGGCCTGGGAAGTCCTTGGTGAACTCGAAGTGGCTATACACAGTTGCAAAACAAAAAAAAATACATTTAAATGGATGATGGTTAACAGGTAAAACAGGACAAAATAAGTTTTTTGCTGATTTACATGTGGGGCTTCAGGCTTAAAGGTTTTCTTTCCTTAGCAAGATTAGTGGTGCAAAACTGTATTTTGCTCCAAATATGAAACGTTATCAATGGCATATACAGTAGTGATCATTACCTATATCTCACTGATAATACTATTAATTTGCAATGCAATATGATTGGCCTAGTACAGTTTGCTTTCTCATGTAGTACACATTGCAGTGTCATTGCCTCACTCTAAAGCAATGTTGGGGGTGGAGCCTGACTGCCATATTAAGCAGGTGCATCCTAAGCTAGCTCCGGCATATGACCGACTTTAATATTCTTGTAGATTTTTTCATCTCCAGCTGCCTCTTTGAGCTCATAGATGACTGGTGCTGTACCTGAGTGTGTTCTACTTCCTCTCAGTGATCACACTGATGGAGCCACAGAGGCGGCTTTGTAGCTTAGTGAGTGCAGACAAGTGGAGAGATGGCCAACCTCTTCTCCCAAACTGAGCTGTTGTTTGATGCGCCCCCACCCCCCTTTGGACCGGTGGGGTTGATCCCAGTCTACTCCCTGGAGGCTCCCTTGCTAAGTTGAAAGCATGTTGCACTACCTCTATAATATGGTGGATGCCACGTGCCTCTTCTGATCTATGCAAAGAAAGTTCTGATGTGGTGCACAGATTGAATAGACTCTTTGAGTCCTTTATGGTAAAGCTAACTACTTGACTGAGACATGCATCTCCAGGTGACCCGACTAATATCTTACCTAAGGCTGAGCTATGGACCCAATTCCTGACCAGGCCTGATTGGAATGGCGGCGATGTGGAGGTATGCAGGCCTTCAAGGTTCTGCAGTACACTGAGGCCATGCTTTGACACACACTGGGATCTAAGAGCAACAGCAGGGATTATGCCAGCCCTACCTGGCAGGGCCGCCATCAGGGGGTGACAACCGTGACTGTTGTCACGGGCCCGGCGGCCCTGGGGGGCCCGGACTGCTCTGGCAGTCCTGGGCCCCACTTTCCCTTTCTGCACACATAGATAGCACATATCGCTATCTATGTGTGCAGCCGCGGGCCCCCTGCTCCCTGTTACCGTCCGCAGAGGGGGCCCAGGCAGCACACAGCTTCTCCTCCTGTCTTCTCTCCATAACTCTCGCGAGACCCGCGGAGCGTTGCCATGGTAACCGGGTCTCGCGAGAGTTATGAGAAGAGAGGAGAAGCTGTGTGCTGCCTGGGCCCCCTCTGCGGTAACAGGGAGCCGGGGGGCCCCCCACCGGACCACCAGGGATGGAATCTCCCCCCTCCATGGACACAGGTAAGCAGGGAGGGGGGGAGAAACATTTAATTAAATTAATAAAAAATTAATGTTAAAATGCCCCTTCCTCCCCCTCACCCCAGATCACACACTAACAACACACACTGCATACAATAACACACACATACACTGCATACACTAACACACACATACACTGCATACACTAACACAACACACACTGCATACACTAACACACACACACACTGCATACACTAACACACACACACTGCATACACTAACACACATACACTGCATTCACTAACACAACACACACTGCATACACTAACACAACACACACTGCATACAATAACACACACATACACTGCATTCACTAACACAACACACACTGTATACACTAACACACACACTGCATACAATAACACAACACACACACTGCATACAATAACACACACATACACTGCATTCACTAACACAACACACACACACTGCATACACTAACACAACACACACACTGCATACACTGACACACACACATACACACACACACACACTGCATACACTAACACACACACTGCATACACTAACACACACACACACACTGCATACACTAACACAACACACTGCATACACTAACACAACACACACTCTGCATCCGCTACACTAACACACACTCTGCATCCGCTACACACTAACACACTCTCTGCATTCACTACACATTAACACTGCATTCACTACACTAACACACACTCTGCATCCGCTACATACTAACACACTCTCTGCATTCACTACAAATTTACACACACTATGCATTCACTGCACTAACACACACACTACATTCATTACACTGACGCACTCTGCATTCACTACACACTAACATACACTCTGCATTCACTAAACTATGCACACACTCTGGATTCACTATACTGACACACACTCTGCATTCACTACACTAACATACACTCTGCATTAACTGTACACACAGCATCCACTACACAAACATCCTGTATTCACAGTACACACACTACATCCACCACAAATTGAAACACTCTGCATTCACTATACACAGACACTGCGTCTGATACACACACTACAGACACTGCATCCACTAAACACATTTCATCTAGTACATACAAACACTACATCCACTACACAAACACACACTACATCACTGTACACACACTACATCCACTACTCAAAAACACTCTGCATTCACTATACACACTGCATCCGCTACACCACACACTCTGCATTCATTGCACAAACAGTATCTAATACACACAAACACTACATCCATTACACACATTCTAATTCACTTCCACTATACACACACCACATTCAGTCCTGCATCATTGTGAGCGGACTAGGTAGGGCGTGGGCAGGCCCGCGAGGGGGGGGGCCCAGACCTTGTGCTTTGTCATGGGCCCCAAATTTTCTGATGGCGGCCCTGGTGGTCCTCTCCCCTCCCCTTCCTGTCCATTAGTGTTCCTCTTCCATTTCCAGTAGTGTTCCTCTCCCTTCCCTGTCTCTTAGTGCCCCCCTATTCCCCTTAACGTTCCTCCCCCTCCTTAGTGTTCCTCTCCCTTGTCTTTTATTGGTCCCCCCTTCCCGTGTTTCTTTTCCCTACCCTCCCCTGTACCTTAGTGCCCCCCTTAATGTTCCTCTCTCTCCCCCCTCCATAGTGTCCCCCTTCCCTGTCTCATAGTGTTATTTCCCCCCTCCCTTGTCCCATAGTGTTCTTTATACTCCTTCCTTGTCCCATAGTGTTCTTTCTACCCCCCTCCCATGTCCTATAGTGTTCTTTCTTTCCCCCTCCCCGTTCCATAGTGTCCTTCCTTTCCCCCCTCCCCTGTCCCATAGTGTTCTTTCTTTCCCCCCTCCCCTGTCCCATAGTGTTCTTCCTTCGTCCCTCCCCTGTTCCATAGTGTTCTTCCTTCGCCCCTCCCCTGTTCCATAGTGTCCTTTCTTTCCCCAATCCCATAGTGTTCTTCCTCCCCTGTCCCATAGTGTTCGTCTGGCCTAAAAAAAAAATTTTTATTCGCTAAACACTGAAATGTAGTGAACTGAAAACCAAACTGCAAAGTTGAGGCAAAAAAAATTGCCAAGCTTTGACTAAAGCTGACAATATTTAAACGTTTTCAATTCACTACAATCCTGTTTTTTTAGTAAATAAGCCTGTATGAGTTTTGTTAGCCTACAAAGTCATTTGCTAAATTGTGAATGTTTAGAAATTCAAAGTGAATTTTAAATTGTGGGTTTCATTCAAAATTTTATATCCATGATATTCCTTCAAAATCGAATGTTTAGTGAATCGCCCACCACATAGCTTGTTCCAACATGGAACATTTTCCTTCATAGGTGTCCTGAACAGATCTGTCCAAAACAGGTGTTATATAAAGTTTAAACAGTCACAAATGCTTTCCTACATTTACTGCCAAAGGTGCCCTGAGGCATAGTTAACTGTCATAAAAGCTCCAGTAGCAATAATTTTCCCCACAATTTTTATTCCACATGAAGAGCAGTGATAGCCAAATTCCTTCATCCTAATATATATGACAGTGCAAAACTTTCATGCTGAGCATTATTGGAGTTGTAGTTCACAGTAGTTGGTATATTGTTTTTTCCATCATTGCTAAAATGTTATCCCATTTGTAGGCAGTTTAATCTAATTGATAATGCAAATTATCAAATGTCATTTTAACAAGAAAATATTTTCATGTATAATAAAGTGTTATAAATATATGAAAAGATACTGACCACTAAAAATTAGGTTCACTATCTAATGGATTTCAATCATTTTACTAGTTAAACAAACTACAATTTTCCTGTAAAAACATGTTACAAAGTGTTCTATTGCTGTTCCACAAATTATGGTTTGCAAAGAATCGGATTCTAAGACAGAGT